TTTTTTTTTCTATCTACAATATAAATATATAGATACATGAATGTATAATCTTTGTATCAATATTCTTAGGCTGCTAAATTTGGAAAAGGATTTAGTAGAACAATTAATCCTGAATATTACGTCAACATGTGCCGAACTTTAAGAGTTTTAAATGCTGTGCGACACCCTGCAATTGGAATTCCACTAACATATACGCAGTATCCTTTTGTTTAACGTTTCTCTTTTAATTTTATTGTTTTCAACGAGATAAAAGAATACCTTAATGACAACAGATTCACTGTCCTCACGAGTCAAGTACTGTTGGACAGACTCGTTGCGAGAAGACATTACTATTTAAGTATACAAATTGCACGGCATCTTCAGTTACCAGAAATCGAAGGAGAAAGTCGAATATTAGCTCATTGGGCTTGCTATAAAGTAACATTTCTTGCTAAGCTTTATTTATTTGATTGTCTACGATGTTTATACGAGATAAATTTTGTTGTTGTAACAGGTAAAACAAACACAATTGGACAAGGAACAAATAGCAGAAGAAATAGCTGATAAATTAGGCTATGCACCTGGTGTTTCTTATAGCGAAATCGCAAGAAGAGCAGCCGACTGCGGCCGAAAACAACTTGCAATTAAAGTAGATCGTCATTATTGAATAAACTAATTGTTAGGCAGTTCTCTGTTTCATCGAATATATTGGCATATTTTATATTCTTACGTACTGTTTCTAGTTAATAGATTACGAACCACGTGCGCATCAACAAGTACCACTTCTATTGACGCTTGGTGAGGAGAGAGCCGCTTTACATAAAGCCGTTGAAAGTGGAAATACCGATTTGGTTTATACTGTAATACTTCATCTTAGGGAGAATATGCCACTCGGTGATTTTCAGGTGACATTTTATTATTGATCGATCCAACAGATAATTCGGCTTTTGATATTTTTCTTATTGGAGTAAACCTCTATAGATGTCCATAATGCACTGTCCTTTAGCGATGGCTTTATACATCAAGTATTGTCAAAATCATAACCGAGAGACACTCCGTGATATTTATAATCAGTATGATGATTTTCATTCTCAAGCGATATGGTTCATTACCGAGAGCTATCAACGAAAGGTAAAAATTAATATAAAATTAATGTATAATCATAATACGTTCAATCGTCTAAAGATATCCATATTTATTACATCACATGTAAAAATTTATAATACTTTCTAGAATACAATGTCCAGAGAAGCATTGTTACAATCTGCACAAGAAAATTTCAAATTAGCTCGCAGTGACAGCAATGCAACTTTAACAGAAGAACAAATAAAATTGTTACGCTATCAAAGGTCTATGGAAGATGTGTTACAGGAATCCATTGTAGGAAAACCACTTCATGATACTGTAAAAGTATTATTATTGCGTAATGAACTCAAATTAGCTGATAAATTGAGATCAGAGTATAAAATATCAGATAGAAGGTACAACCTGTACTTTTTAAACATATTTTCTTTCAAATTGTTATTAATAAATGAAGTATGCAAAACATTTCTTTTTAGATATTGGTGGTTACGAATACAGTGTCTGGCTGAGAAAGGCATGTGGAATGAATTAGAAAAATTCTCCAAAAGTAAAAAATGCCCTATTGGCTACGAGGTAACCAATATCTGGCATTATATATAAATATTTATATGTAAAATTTTATTTAAAAATATATTGTCACTAAGCATCTTTTTCTCGCTTGTTTTAGCCTTTTATAGACGAGTGCTTGAAATATAATGAAGAAAGAGAGGCAAAAAAATATTTACCAAAAGTAAGGGATGAGTTGAAAGTAAAATATTTGGTTAAATTAAAGTAAGTGCTCATAGATAATCATAATATATTTATTTATTATTTCGAGTAATAAAATAAAATATACATTCTTACAGAATGATAAATGAGGCGGTTCAAACGGCAATGGAACAAAAAGATGTTAATGCGTTAACTTTCTTATTAGCGCAATGTGAAGCAACAGATAGACAATTAATTGATAAAATTAATATGTCCATAACAAGTCTCAAAAATTGATAATCTATCATATTAATTTATCGTGACAATTTAGCTCTGAATCACTGGTTAATTTTTATAAATATTATTATGTACATTTCATAAAAATATAACTATCCAGACTTATTTACATTCATACATAGTCACGAAAACATAATAATTTTGAGCGATTCGTAGCCGAATATTTCGTGGAGTCGATATGGATGCTGTAGCAGTAGTCATGGAATTGTTTCATTATATTTGTAATTCATTCTGAATGCATACATATATACATTGTTTATTCATAAAA